CTGTCATATTTTGCCAATCATGGTGCCTCTAGAGCAGTTCTCAACATGGGGGTGGTGGACCAGCAGCACCAGCATCACTGGGAACTGGCTAAAAATGCAGGTTCTCAGGCTCCACCTCAGATCCCCTGAACCGAAAATGGTGCTAAAGCAATGATTCTCGGCCTTGGCTGCACATTGGAATCACCTGGGGGCTTTAAAGAGCATGAGGCCTTTGTCCCAACCCCAAAGATTCCAATGCAATTGATCTACAGCATGATTTTCAACCTCAGCATTATTGACATTTTAGGCTGGATAATTATTTGTTGGCCTTTCCTATGCATTCAGAATGTTTAGCAGCATCACTGGCCTCTACTCAATGGATGTTGGTAGCCTCCCTCCTCCCCGACCAGTTGTAATAACCAAAAATGTTTCCAGATATTACCAAATGTCCCTCGAATACAAAGATGAGAATCACTAATCTAAGTGCATGGCCCAGGCACTGGGATTTGTAAATACTCCCTAAACCATTCTAATGTACAGCCAGGACTAAGAACTATCACTCTGGAAGGTTCTTGTTAATTACAAGCTTTGAGTGTGCAATGGACTAAAGAACAACAGAAGCTAAGCTTTACAGCATTGGGTGTAAGGAGAGAATAAGTCAACCCACCATGAAGACTCAGCCAGTCTGCCCATCAGTGAGGTACACAAGATTAGACTGCATTTTGCATTAACCAGTGGCTACTTGTATTTCTACGTACTTTCCAATTGTTGGGTGTGTTCCAAAAAACTGACATAAACAGGTACATCTGCACTTATCTAAAAGTTCCCAACCAAGGAGATATTGCTCTGTACTAAACATAGTAGAGGACATCCCGCTTTTGGACCCAGTCATTCTAAAAACAGGGTGCTTATCAGGACACCATGTGGTACATGTCCTTAGGCAAACCTGTTTTGACAGGTTAAAAAAATGTAGCCTGTCAATGTTATGATGTTGATTTTGACACAATCCAAATCAGCCACACAAAACAGGATTTCTACATTGATATGTACCATTCAGCAGCATTTTAGTTTTCAGATAATGATCGGGACTGTACTTATATTTCAACTGTAGAAAAGTCCCCTGTGTAAGAACCAAGGCAAGTGTTCTTCAGTAAAATCCGTGCTCCACAGGTCACCCTCTGCTGCCTCAGTGGTTGCTCCTTGATGTTCCGCGGGGGTCCCCGGGGGACCAAGAGGGCACAGAGTGCATTTAGGCCACAGATGTGCACCATCTGCAGGCACCTGCTGTGCAGCTCTTCCAGGCTGAGCAGCCCAAAGTAAAAGGTGTCCAAGAAAAGAGCTTGTACCACGTGCTCTTCGACCTGGGTCTTAAACAGAACAGTACTCTCCCACTTTCTCAAGGAACTAGTTGGTAGGTACATCACTTCTTTCAACAGTAAGAGTAGAAATACTACTTTGAGATACTAAGAAATAAATTTTAAACAGTATATTGCAAGATGAATGTATTTTCAGGCAAAATTGATACTTTCTAATTTCAAAATATTGTCCCAAGTTAATGAGTTGGAATCATTACTTCATTCAACATCTACTACGTGCTAGGTAGTGTATAATGTGATTGGAAATTATAAATATGAAGGCTGTGTAAGAATGCATACCCTTTTATGGCAAAAATAAGCTATGATTGCTCCAAGGTACCAGATTAACCCCATGAACTAGTTGGTACAAGCTTATTCACATTAATGAACGAACTAGGTTTTTTGCCATAGTCTAACTTATCCTAAGCAGTTGCTTATCTTTTTCTATCCCAGCCTAAACTGTTTCATCAATGTACTTTTAAAAATCAAAACCTTTTGATTAAATTTCCCAGAGAAGCACTTGAGGAAAACAATGCATAAAAGACTGGTAATAGGTATTACTCCATATGGTTCCACTTGTTTTCACAAAAGCCATATGCTTTTATGTGTGTGGGGAGTTTCTGGAAGAAAATACAGTTCACAATTAACAGTGGTTGCCTTTGGGTAGGAAGTTCAGGGGCCTTGGTCAGAAGGGAGACTTGCTTTTCCTAATGTTCTTATACAGCTTATTTTCACCATTTTAAAGTTTGTATTTTCCATTTCAAATGCTAGTATGTAAAAGAAAAGACACATTCCCAGTGGTCTTTCAGAAGTTCCAAATGCCTCTTCTAATGAAAGAGAAATGGGTGAGCTACACTCTGTGCCTCTTTTTATTTTATTTTATTTTTTTATTGACTATGCCATTACATTTGTTCTATTCCCCCCTTCATTCCCCTCCTCCCTACCCCACTGTCCCCACCATTACCCCCCCTTTAGTTTATGACCACGTGTCTCAAGTTCTTTAGATTCTGTATTTCCCATACTATTCTTGCCCCCCCCCATCTATTTTCTATCTACCATCTATGCTACTTATTTTCTGTACCTTCTCCTCCCACTCCCCTGTTACTAACCCTCCTTAAGATCTTCATTTCTATGTTTCCACTTCTGATCTAGCTGTCCTTTTAGTTTGCTTTTGTTTTAGGTGTGGTGTTAATAACTGTGAGTTTGCTGTCCTTTCACTGTTCATGTTTTTTTAACTTCTTTTTCTGTGCCTCTTTGATGGCCCCTTCTTTTTACATGTATTTATTGCTACAGCAGAGTGGGCAGAAAGGAGACTTTAAACGGATGATTACTCTAACATCAGCTCCAAGAACGAGATGAACAAGCAGATCCTACTGATCTGAGACTGGGTAGTTAAAGGGGGGCCTCTTTGAAGAAGCCACATTTAACCAGAAAGGATGGAAGCTGCCTCCTGGCAGGGGCCTGCTCTCCACCAGCTGCACTGGAACAGTTACTTGCCATGTTCTTTCAGAAAGAAGCAGACAGAGGCTGGAGAAGTCCACACTGTGAATGTACCTAAGAAATCCCTCCAGTGATTTCTTTCAGTCCCTTTTGTCCACACTTTCCAAAAAAAAAAAAAAAATGCATGCTTATCCCTGGGGGCAGGCTGGGGGAGGGGGGGTAACAACAAAAATAACAACACACCTATTTATGTAAAGACAGACAATTCTGTGATCTTCTGGGTGCCCACCAATACTGTGACATCTTCCCCTTCAGTCCTTCCCTTACACTTAACCCCAGTTAAGTTTACGCAAGCGTGAAAAAGAAAAAGAATCCATGGAGCCTGGAAGGGCCCAAAATGATGCCGGCTCAGTTGTGGGATTTTCTGGATCATTTTTCTTAGTATTTTTCACTTAGACCTTCACAGTACTTCACCCCTTGTGAAGCAAGACGTACCCTTTTCTTTCCTCTCTTTGCTGGATGTTTGGATTGGGAAACCCACCCCGGTGGGCTTCAGGGTCCTCTGCCTCTGGGAACGAGCCAACGACAGGCAACACAACAGCTCGACCTTTCTAAACATACCCTGAAACAGCCCCCGCACCCTTTAATTACATCTCTGCGGTCTTTAATGGAGAGTTACATTCTGGGATAACGTACTACACTCTCCTTCTATGAAAAGTAGTTTTCAGGTTCTCTGTTCTTTATAGGGGGTGATTCATCCTAGAAATGGTGTTTTAAGTCTTTGCTTGCACCAGGCATTAATAACCAGCAATCAGTGATGGTCTAATTGCTAGCTTCATGAAAATTGTCAGAGTTTATGGCAGTGTGTTTATGAAGAGCATACCAGTTGTTCTCAGACAAAAGTTTATGTGGAAATTCTGAGAACTCACCAACCAAGGCTGGTTAGAGCAAGAGGCAGAAGAAACCAAGGGCAAGATTGGATTGAAGGCAGAAGTTCTTTTAGAAATCTATCCAGAAGAAAAGGAACTATGTTAGAAAACTAAAAACTTCTCAAATAAAGTCATGTAGGATTTTAGCCATAAAAATGGAATTTTAGAGAACCCTATGTTACTAAATCCTCAAAATGCATAGGTTCTGGTTTTGTATCCACGGGGTACTTGTTTCCCACCCTCTTTCAATGGACTCATGTAAATGACCACACGGACCATGAAACTAAACCTCACATAATGTTTTAGAAATTGTAGAACAGAAATTTGAAGCTCAGCTTAGAGCTACTATGGCAACAGGTACTTTGCAAAAAAAGACAAATTTGTCTACTTAGTAGGATAGTGCTTCCTAGTGAGTGGAATAAGTTTAAATTATGAATCACTAGGCAAAAATTAGAAAAGAAATCAATGCCATCTTTACTCTTGAAAAGGCATCATATATTCAGCAGGGACTTCCTTTCCCCTTTTAATTTTTTTGCTCCTAGTACAATACCAAATTAGATGAATATCAGCAACCCACAGGACTTCACATTCTTGCTATTTAACCACGACCACTAGAGGGTGTCCAACCTTTCCCACCGACAAAGAAGTTAAATTTTCAAGAAGAAATAGACTTTCTGCAAATGCTACAAACAGATTACAAGAGCCACGTTTCAGGCAATTTTGAGCCTAAAGAGAGAAAGGCCACTATGACACCCCTACTGAAGCAGCCGCTCCTTAAGTACAGAGGGAAGGTAAGTTCCAATGGCTCTGGGTGTTGACCAGCTGACAGAGTCAGCACATCCTAAACCACTTCGTCTTCACGGTATTCCTCATAACCTCGCATTCAGAACTTTGGCTGCTTGTCAGAAGATAATATAATCTTCCAATGTCACTAGCTGAAAATGTGAGAATGATCTGCTTAACTCATGGTTTAGCACGAGTGGATAAGAGACGACTGCCTGCTTCTCTGTTAAGCTGTCACCCGAGTCCCATACTTTTGCTGCTCTTTGAAAAGAAGTTGGTGTGCCTACTTCACATAAGATCAAATGTTTATCTCTTCCATTATTATATTTATCATTTTCCATGCCTTTCCAAGTTGCTGAGTCTTTAAAATATGAGGAGAAGACTGTTGCCGTCATGCGAACTGGAATGCATAATGAATAATAAAATTTAGAAGTTTGGAAGATAATTAGAAGTACATGTCCATATATTCCATGCCAGCTCTGCCATTGCTAACTACAGTGTCTCCTTTTCACAGCTGCTGGCTGGGCGCTGGCCTTTTGATCACAATGACTTTGGCACGTTTCTGTGCAAGCTGTTCCCCTTTTTGCAGAAGTCCTCAGTGGGGATCACCGTCCTCAACCTCTGTGCTCTCAGCGTTGACAGGTAACGTGGTTCTTTCCCTCTACTCTTTTGTCGGATTTAGAAAAGCATTTTTGTCATAAAGAATGGAAGTCAAAAAGCCTTGAAAGTTGGTGCCAGGACAGTTGTTAGTTTCAAGTGAATTAAAATATTAACAATCTTGCTGTACAGTTTAGAATTGCTTTTCACGTTTGCTGGTTATTAGCCATCTTTGGCCTAGGCAATTTCTATCTAGAGCATTCTGCCAATTATATTCATTTGGCACCCTTGGGGCAAGAAAGAAATTCTACTGAAAAAGCATGGTTCTAATACCTGGCAGGATTTGAGATTTGAACAGTCCTTTTGGAAAACTATTTTTCCAAATAATTTTGGAAAAACTGCAAAAGATTTTGCCTTTTGGCCCAGTAATTATGATTTGGGGGGCTAATTTTAAGGAAACCAAAATTTTATTTATTTACTTATTTTTTAAAATATATTTTATTGATTATGCCATTACAGTTGTTCTATTTCCTCCCTTCATTTACCTCCACCCTGCACACCCTCTCCCCCACCATTCCCCCCCTTTAGTTTATGAACACATGTCTCAAGTTCTTTAGATTCTATATTTCCCATACTATTCTTGCCCTCCCCCTATCTATTTTCTACCTACCATCTATGCTACTTATTTTCTGTACCTTCTCCCCCCTTCTTCTCCCACTCCCCTGTTGCTAACCCTCCATGTGATCTTCATTTCTATGGTTCCACCCCTGATCTAGCTGTCCTCTTAGTTTGTTTTTGTTTTAGGTGTGGTTCTTAATAACTGTGAGTTTGCTGTCCTTTCACTGTTCATCTTTTTTATCTTCTTTTTCTTAGGTAAGTCCCTTTAACATTTCACATAATAAGGGCTTGGTGATGATGAACTCCTTGAATTTGATCTTATCTGAGAAGCACTTTATCTGTCCTTCCATTCTAAATGAAAGCTTTGCTGGATAGAGCAATTTTGGATGTAGGTCTTTGGATTTCATGACTTGGAATACTTCTTTCCAGCCCCTTCTTGCCTGTAAGGTCTCTTTTGAGAAATCAGCTGACAGTCTGATGGGAACTCCTTTGTATGTGACTGTCCCCTTATCTCTTGCTGCTTCTAGGATTCTCTCCTTCATTTTAATCTTGGCTAATGTAATGATGATGTGCCTTGGTGTGTTCCTTCTTGGGTCCAACTTCTTTGGGACTCTCCGAGCTTCCTGAATTTCCTAGAAGTCTATTTCCTTTGCCAGATTGGGGAAGTTCTCCTTTATTATTTGTTCAAATAAGTTTTCCACTCATGGCTGTTCCTCTTCCCCTTCTCGTACCCCTATAATTCGGATGTTGGAACGTTTAAAGATGTCCTGGAGGTTCCTAAGCCTCTCCTCATTTTTTTGAATTCTTGATTCTTCATATTTTTCTGTTTGGTCATTTCTTTCCTCTTTCTGGTTCACTCCTTTGATTTGAGTCCCAGTTTCCTTTCCATTACTATTGGTTTCCTGTGCATTTCCATTCGTTTCAATTAGTTTAGCCTTCATATGTTCCTCTAATTTGTGACTAAAATCAACCAGTTCTATAAGCATCCTGATCACCAGTGTTTTGAACAGTGCATCTGAAAGTTTGGCTATTTCTTCATGGCTTAGATTTATTGGCTCTGGGTTCTGAGTTGTTCTTGAGCCATGTTTTGATCTGTTCCTGCCCTGTTACGTATGAGGAGCGGAGCCTTAGTTGTTCACCAGGGTGGGGCCACCCAGGTTGCTGGGTTGTGACAATATATGTGGGGGTGGGGTCAGAGAGGAACAATGGTGGTCCCCTCTGCCACTTCCCACCGCTGGGGCCTGTGCAGTCTGTCTCACCACCGCTAGCTCCTTCACCGGTTTATTTGCACGCTAATGTGTGACTGCGATCAGCCCTCAGTGGGTCCACTGCCTTTTGCCCTCAGTAGGTCGGCCCGCTACTCCACACCTGGGATCTACCTACGGCTGCTGGCGTGCCTGGGTTGTGCACCCCGGTCAGTCCGGTGGATCTTTCCTGCCTGACCCCACTCTGCTGCTGGCTCTGCCCCTCTTACCAGTTTGGCTGAAGGGTTCGTTGTTGTCAGACTTCCATATAGTTCAATTTTCTGTGGTTTGGCTGTGCTTTTGTTGCTAAAACTTGGTTGTTTTTAAACTTGGTTGTGGGAGAAGGTACAGTGCTTCCACCTATGCCTCCATCTTGGTCAGGAAACCAAAATTTTAACAGAGAATTTGTCATGCACAAAGATGTTGTTTACAAAACTATTTATATCAAAAGTAGAAAGCAGCCTTCATGTTAGGAAAATGGATAAGAATGTTAAATATATTTTGTATGTATAAACATATGAATATAAAATTCCTTGAAAGAAATATGATAAATATTAGTAGTTATGTTTAGGGAAAGAGTCATGGGTTTTTGTAATGTTCTTCTAAGAGTAGAAAAAATTTCTAAGTTTATTTACTTCTATTATCTGTTACCATTTTCCTTATATATTTAATGCCATTCTATAGACAATATTTTTTCACTTGCACAGCTCATTCCTTTGACCTTTATTCTATATCAACCCTGACTTTCTCTGGCCATACAGCTCTGAAGCACAAGCACACGCAGGCACAGGGACCACAGCACAGAGGCCTGGGTGAACAGAGGCGCACAGGTGTATTCCCAGTCAAGAGTTACGTCCATCCCTACTGTTGTCTTTACAAAAAGCTTAATCAAAATTGGGGAGATATTGTTTTAGAAATTAATTAAACTTTGTCCCAAAGTTAGGTAAAAACAGGATGATTCCCTGGCTGATGTGGCTCAGTGGACTGAGTGCAGGCTGCAAACCAAAGGGTGGCTGGTTCGATTCCCAGTCAGGGCACATGCCTGGGTTGCAGGCCAGGTCCCCAGTAGGGGCTGGGAGAGAGGCAACCATACATTGATGTTTCTCTCCTTCTCTTTCTTCCTCCCTTTCCCTATCTAAAAATAAATGAGTGAAATTTTTTTAGTGAGAAAGAAAAAACCCAGCATGATAATGAACTTTAGGTGTTATTCGACATTCTAAAAGAAAACTACACCTCTGAAGAAACATCTAACCAAAGCCAAAGACAGACAAGACAAGCATGCGAGAAACAGGAATAAGCACTAGGAGAATGAAGACCAGGAAGATGCTTGGCTCCTATAAACAATAAAATCTCTTCTAAAGCTTATCATCCTCTGAGAAAAGTCATTGATGAAAAGAGAGGCCAAAAGAGAGGAACGAATTTTCTTGATATGACCATTGGTTTATTAATAGGCAACTTTATATCCCTGTAAAAAAAATTTATTACAAAATTTAGAGTATAGTTTATGGTGTTACATGGCACAGTACAGTGATCCCTAATACATTTCATATAAATCTATTTAATAAATTTTTCTTGATAAAAAAATGTTAAGGCACTTACTTTTCAGTGATAAGCAATATAATAAAGCATCGCTACACTGAGTGCTATAATGCATAGTTTAGTTCAGCATAGAGACTTGAGCAAGAAGGGCGTGATGGACAGACATGGAGAGTGAGGCCTGGCTGTGTCCTTTAGGAGCTGTCCTGCTGGTGAAGACATGGACTTGGGCACAAGGGAGAATAAAGTACGTGATGTAGGCATTCAGGCAATGGGATTCCTACATCATTAAAAAGAAAAAAAAAACCATCCTTCTCTAGCTTACCTTGTTCTGCCCCCTCTTTCTTCCTTGGGAGAATCTCAGAGGACCTTCTTGCTAAGCTTCGTCTCCCCAGTAGAAACTACCTGTGGGCAGCCGAGGGCAGGGGTATGGGTGGTGACTGGGGGAGTAGGTTGCAGGGGGTGGGGCAGAGGATAGAGGGATATAGGTTCACCTCGCCTCCATGCATGGGGGAAAATTAGCTAACTGTTCAATCAGAAATGATCAATTCTGCATCAAACAAAATGCTCTCAGTTTTAATCAAGACTGGGTCTCAGTTGTCTTCTACAGTCTGTTCCCCTGACAGATCAAGAAGATAAACCATCTTCAAATTCCACTCGCATAAAAATCTACCTTAATCAAGGAGGATTTTCCTTGGTAATAAGCTCATCATTCTTTGTTCCTTGGGTCCTTTCTTTATTATTTTTACATTTTGTTTGGTTTTGACTCTAAGCTTTGGGACTTGTATGTAGGGAATCCATTTAGACATTTCTGTTTCAAAGGCTTTCACAGTGGAGAATGAATCACTCATATTTAATTCCTAAAGACAAGATACATTTGCTTTGAGTCTTCATTTGGTTGCATTGTATTCTACTAAAAAATATTAAAATTGTTGGGTTTTTTTACTAAATCAAGGAGCAAAAACAGGGAAACTGCACCTGTTACAGAACAATTTATAACTTCCATGCTATTTGTTGCATGAGCTGAGTCAAGTTATGGCTCAGAAAGTGTTCATGATTTTTTTCATATTTTTTAAATATTATACGTATCTTTCACTTCAGTTGTTTTAGGGAAAAATAATGAGAGTAACTGTCCATCTGAGTGCTGTACAGTTTCTTCATGATTCTGTCGATTGCTCAGTGAGCGCAGATGCTGTGGGATGGAAGAGTCTGAAAAAGGTAAACAAGATGCTTTTGACTCGTACCGAAATCGGACTCTAGACTTGCCCACTCTGGACTTGTTCATGTCTATTCTAGACTTGCCTCAGTTTAACCATTTCACTAATTCCTCCTCAAACCTCTTCTTATTTGTAATTTACATCCATAGTCACTTAAGAAAAGGTAAAGTGGAAATTTCAGAAAAAGATGGGAAATTTAGTAACAAACTTTGATCCCTAATTCCTTTTTATCAATGAAATAATTTTTAATTATTTTATTTATTGATTTTAGAGAGAAAGAAGAAGGGGAAGAGAGAGAGATGGAGACAGACGTTGATTTTGTTGTTCAACTTATTTATTCATTGAATGTTTCTTGTCTGTGCTGTGCCTGGGTATTGAACCCACAAACTTGGCACATTGGAACAATGCTCTAACTGAGCTACCCAGCTAG